ATACGAGATATCCACTGGTTGGCAGGTTCAATTTTTCCAGCACAATTTACAGTGAAAAATGTGATTTGTTTTTCACACATTTTTCACTGAAAAAATTGGTGAAATTTTGAAAGCTTTTTCACCCCTTTTCAAGTTTCTTTTGAGTTTTTCACCTCAAATCGGAAAAGTGGTGAGAATGTTTTGGGCTTTCCACCTAGTTTCTGGCTGAAAATTGATGGAAAACAAACAACATTTTTCACTAAGAATTCCGCAGAAAAACCCGAATTTTCCAACCAGTGATCGTTGATCATCTACACACCCGTGTTTCAGACATTGACGCCTCAATAAAAAACACTGAAGCCCTTCTCATGACACTTCAAAGCAGGCTAGTCTCTTATAAACAGACACTATAACAACATAATCTCGTACCTCGGTTTGTTATAGTCTGTCAGTAAGGTCGATCAAACGATCGCTCATGTCGTTATTACAAATCATAGAATTTTCCTGGTGTTCCAGAAGGCTCAGCGACGTGTCTTTCATTTTTCTGACCTAACATTTACCTTCAGGAATACGAAAGCAGTAAATTATCCTGCCATTTGTTGGGCGGAAAGTCAAAGACGCCCAATGCCGAAATGTGATGGTCCAGCATGCGGAAAAGGCCGAGGTACTGATTTGGAGGGAAACGGACCGTTATCCTTGTTCTTAATGGCAGTTCAATTGAAAACAAGATTTCTAGAGGCTTTCCCTCTCAAAGTTTACCACCAGTACTGCAGGCGAGGTGAGTGGCTGTGGGCAGACATTCAAACTCCGATGATTATATAATAACGGCGCAACGCATACATGATCGCGCGCTTAACTACAGACTAAAAGCAGGCGTAAATCTGCAATTATCGGTCATTCAACACCTTCCAGCTGATGTATGGGGTGAAATCTTCTCTCATACCGTATCTGATGTATATCGTCGGTGCGCTATCGACAGAAGTCCATGGGTCCTTGGTCATGTCTGTAGTTGATGGAGGGCCATCTCTGTGTCATTATCCACCCTCTGGTCCCATCTCGACAGCAACATCCCTTTGCCCATGCTTATCAAACAGATTGAGCGCTCAAAGGGATGCAGTCTAATTGTTGACCTCTTCGAAAGCGAAACCATCCATCCGATGATGGATTGTTCCAACCACTGGAAAACCGTGGACATTGAGATGGGAAATCCCATGGTGGGAGATGACATGTTGACCGTTCTGGACGGTGTTCACACTGGGGGCAAAAAGCAACACATATGAAAACCATATGCATCAAATGCATATGGTCTGCAGGTAAAACAAATGTAACAAAGCTGCCTTTGACAGACAAAGGACAGCTTTGTTGCATGCTTTGTGCTCCTGTGTGAGGGAACAAAACATGTGCCAAAGGCGGCCTTTGAAAGTCAAAGGCAGCTTTGTTATGTTTGTTTTACCTGCAGACCATATGCATTTGACGCATATGAAGATCATATGTGTCAGTAATTGCCCCCAGTGTCATGGGAAGGTGCCCATGTTGTGCTGACTCACGTGCTGGGATATCCCAAACACTACTTCTTGCACGGTGTTCCAAGTCGCGTGTTGTTATCCATGGAAAACATGGAGAGGGATTGCAGCTCCCATGGGCACAACTGACGAGCCCTTGCCAACAAATTCCCCAAATTAATGATCTCAGCCTACTTGGATCCACCTGTAATCTGGTCGCATTGTCGCTCACCGAGTCCGACATTTCACTCCCACTTTCGGTGGAACAGCCAGAGCTAATAGTTGAGCTCCCGCTCCTTCGCTCGCTATACATTAAGGACGGGAGTTCTTGAATTTCCTGGTCCTGCCTGCGTTGGAAAATATCTACATTCTTAAAGGCACTTCATCCCTCACCTCCCTCGTTGACAGATTGTGGTGTTGTTTGCAGACAATTAGCAACAATGATCCAAACCTTGAAATCATCCCCATTTTGATTCGCTCCCCGATGCTCCGCGAACTCTGCCTTGAGCTTGCCCCTGAGAATCTCAAGCCCCTCATATCCTATCTCACTATCAATTCTGATTCCAACAATACCGGTTTTCGACCACCTTGTCCCGAACTGGATGCCCTCACGCTATGCAGCAGATTAAACGAACATGCATGCAGCCTGCTTGTACAGATGGTTGAATTGCAGCTACATAGTACTGTCTGTTCCAGCTTGTCTATTTGCAGAGTCTTCGACATACTTTCCTCGAAACTTGTCCGCCATGCCAACAAGATGCTCGAGGAGCGGCTGCTGAATGGGTTCTGGAGAAGGCTGCCAAGCAGAAAGTGCACCAATGGGTCAAAGAATATCCTTACTAGTAGATCACGGCAGGCAAGTTATCTTCACTCGTCAGCCTCTGTAGGTTCCATGTTTTCGGTTAGCAGTGTTGAATAAATATGCTTTCATGTTCAGAGGCGAGAACAGTATATGTACACTGCGCAGTGCATGACATGATCAAATGAAGAGGAAAGTCCAAGGCGAAAGAAATATCTGGGCCGAACCCAGACCAACCCGTCCAGACCCCAAGGCTTTCTATGCAAGGGAAACCATCGTCAAGCATTGAATCCATGGCTAAAGGCCACACCGTGGCGGATACATATTACTGAGCAGGGAAACATCAAATTCGTCCAAAAATGTGAGGCGGCGATCTCCATAGACACAGAATTCGAGTGAGCAGTAGATAAAAAACCGTGGGACGTACAACTAGGCATTAGTCAAGTATGTTCCTTGCTGCAATGCTCTCACTGATGTGTACCTGCATCCCATCCGCCACCAGTTCTCTGAATGCCGCGATGATATCTGGTGCGGGCATGTCCGAGTCAGTCAAGATGGGTATCGTGAGATGGAAGAATAGGAGTTGGGTGTGACGTGCGACAAGTGCACCGAGTGCTGCGTTCCAAAAGGAATAGGAAATCTCAGGGTCTTCATCATCGGTGAGGTTGATGATCAGAATACTGAGCTGTGGGAGGAGGGATGCGGACCCGGCCAACACCCCAAATAATTCTTCCACCAGAGAGCAGTAGGTCTCCCATAGCTCGAACTGCTTCAGATCGGGTGCGAAATGGAGGTATTCGGCCAATGGAAGAAAGTCATATTCCTGTCCCAAGACCAGCTCTCGGAGGGCTGGTGACAACTGCTTCAGGAAGGAAAGCAAGTAACCGGTATTCACAATGGTGCTGAGGGCTCCAAGCCCAGGGAGTGAAAGACTGTCGAGGATGTTACAATCCAATGAAGGACATCTGCCTTGTTCTCTGGGTGTGGGGTGACGGGGATTGGGAAGAACCAGTTTTTGATTGGTGCCAACAGTGAGAACAATATCTGTTCCGCAAAAGAGACACTCCACAAGGTTGGGAGTGAGACGTAGGAGTTTGAAGATGTGAAATGAGGGGATTCTGAAGGATTCTGAAGCACGGTGCATGGAATCACGATGATAAGCCAGTAATTGGGCCATGGTTAGATACACGTAATTTTGCATGTTTCTGATTGTGCTCATCGCTGAAACTGTTGTTTCTATGCAACAGTACTGGTTCCTGGTAGCTGTTGGGCAAACCACAGAGAAACAGGTGGACATTCTAAGGAATTAGAACATCCATTGGCTAGTCTCACCCTGAAAACTGTAAGGGAAACATATAGCCAATTAATAAGTCAAGGAACTTCTTTTGACTTGTTTCCAACATCCACTTAAGCAACGGAAACAAGTCAAAGGAACGGGAGTTGAGCAATGTGTTGTGTTGTGTTGAGATGCTGAGGAGATGTGCTGGGTCACGGGTGTTTCGGTTGCTAGAGTCGCCAGTTTCCATTGGATGCGGATACACTGAAACAGGTGGTCGGCTATTCTGAGAATCCGGATCACAACTCTAAAGGTGTTCCAAGGTTCTTCCTCAAGAACCCTTTCTGGGAAACCCTATAGAAACGGGTATCTACCGAGACCTACAAAGGAGTATTATCAAGTTCCACGCTTGGAACCAAGGGGAGAGTTGAGTCGAAGCAGAAACAGGTTGAATGAGTGCAGTGCCAATCTATTGGTGATCAACACACCCTCTGAATAATACAGGGGTGCTGCTGATGGGTTCCTGCCTCGTAATTGGCAAGGGAACATGGTGTGCTCGTAGTTGGGAACCAATGGGAGGCGACGCTCGGAAGAACAACCGACGGAAACACGGTTAAAGAGGTGGATAAACAGACATTTGACTCATTGGGATTGTGTTTTGGGCTTTGTAACAGTGTCTTGGCAGTTGTATAAGTATCCAAGGGTGTTTCTACGATGGACACAGCATCTTCCCCTGAACTAGTAGGCTATACGCTTGCGCATTGGGTTGATCTGGGACCCTCGGCGAATGCACTCTTATAGAGTAGCACTATTAGTCAAAATCTTAATTGTTTCTGAATCATATATTATTCTGGAAACGCACTTGGGCTCTGCCTGGAAACTGTTAGAAACTCTGTGAATCTGCTCGAACTGGGACTCTGTTGAAAGGAACATTATTGTTGTTGTTTGCAGAGCGTGTTTCAGAAAGTATTGTCTAGGGAAAGCTTTGGAAACATGACTGCTGTGCACTGCTCAGAAAGTACCTCTTTAGAGAAAGCTCTGTGAACGCTCTTGGCCTATAAACTAGGGGCCTTACTTGAGTCTACAGGACTACTTTAAACTTGTTTCTCTGTCGTTTGGACACACATACATATACACACACACACACTGCGAAGCTATAAATCTACTTTGTTTGGAAACAATGTTTCCACTGTGTCTAGAAACATGTTCTACGCAGTTTGCTCTTAGTCTCTTTGAGATACGAAACCTCTCCCTACAACCTTTACAAGGCCCTGTACTAGGGGCTGTAACTCGTCAGGATCTCTGGAAAAGTGCATATATTGCCCGTTTGATTTGTTTGTTGGTTAGAACAGTCTCTGGACTGTTTCTGTGCCGCTCTCGAGTCAAGTGGGGTTATTTGTGTGTTTCTTATATAGGTTCTGAGCACATCAATCATCATGTGATGGGTACTTTAGCTCAGTGGTTAAGAGCACACTCTAAACAGGAGTAACAAAGAGGTCCCGGGTTCGAATCCTGGAAGTGCCATTCCTTTGAAGCATTCTTGAGTGAACACAAGCACAGCCTTTCAATGAATCATCAGCGTTACAAGCGATGGCAGAGGCCCTGGGCTCGTGGTGGAGCCCCAAAGTTCCATGAGGCCATTGGTGGTGTTTTGGTCGGTGACTTTTCCTCCCTTCTCTGCTTTGCGTATTTCAAGGTGTCTTAACTGCTGTCTATGTCTCCAAATGACGGAGACAACATCTTGGTTGAACTTTCCTTCAAGCAACACAGACAGAGGACGATTACAGGAGTGTTCAAGCCAAATTGACAAGAGGTCCTTTACGCCCGTGGCGCAGGGGAAGATGATATGGATTGCGGTCCACAGAGCCAGTGTAGCAATTGCAATGTTGCTCCAGGCATGGCAGATATTGAGGAGCAGCATGGGTGGGTGGGGAGCTCCAGGCTCCAGTGGCAAGGGAGCGAGAGTTCGGAGAAAGATATCCGATGAAATTTCAAGTGGCAGGCGAGCCACAGGGTCAACAACAGTGTTAAGCTGGCACTGAGCAAGACTTTTATTGCGCTGCAGTTTCTTCAGAAGCTCTCGCTGCAGACCAATCTCAGTGTCCAGCTTCATAATGCGCGCATGGAGCTCTTGAATGACCATTTTGGACTTGTTTCTGCCAGAAAAGACCCACCAGAACACCATGAGAGGAGGCAGGCTTTTCGAACGAGTTACAACTTACCAGTGTGAGTTCAGCCTTTCAGAGCAAGATTATTCGACCCACAGTGGTTTTAGGTCAAGGTTACTTCGGCTGTAGTAAACAAATTTACAGCTGATTGCAGAACTTAGGGCGCAGATCATTTATTTCTTCTACTAATCAAAAAAGCGTCCCCCAATAAATCCCTCGTATCTCCCACAGATCTGCACCAATATACATGATTTTATTATCATTAGAACTGCACTGTCGAGGCGCATGCCCCTGTACCAAAAGTTTTTTTTACAAAATTCACATTTTTATTTTTGGCCTACAATTGAGCAGTACCAGGTGTTCTGAGCGCCCAGGGACAATTTGAGACGTCGAGGGTGGACCTGCAGCACATATAAAACTCATATGAGCATGCCGAGAGTGAGGTAGAATGGTGTCGTCGTGTAGGGTCTGCATAACGGTACCACGATGTGACCCGACATGTCTTGCTTACAACCACCGCAATGCCAAGTGCCAAACACGTGCACTCGTCCCTTTCTCAGCCCCTGGAAGAATTCAGCAACCTCTCCATCTTAGCCACTGCTGCAATGCTTCAATCTGGAACGGTCCAAGGAGAACCTGACAGCGACCTTTCCACACCAAACAACGATGATATTACCGACATCCTGGATTCTGAGAAAGAGGAAGACTCATGCCAAGAGTGAGGTAGAACGGTGTCATCATGTAGGGTCTGCGTGACGGTACTGCAATGTGACCCAACGTGTCTTGCTTACAACCACTGCAATGCCAAGTGCCAAACACGCTTCCTCACAGCCTATGGACACATTGAACGCACCTGCAGCCTACCCGAACTCGTCTCAGTCCGCACTGCTTGGTCTCTGAGCCTTCTTCGCTGCATTGAGCACCGAATTTCTGTTTCAAGGTTTGGATGACTCAGCCAATGGTATTTTGGAGAAACCCAGTGACTTTATATTGCTAAATTCACATAGCAGCGCAACATAATCTACGGTCCTCTGCTACCGAACGGCTTTCCAAGAGGAGAGCTCGGCACCAAGATGAACAGCACAATTTCGGTTGCAGGGCTCGGTGAATGAAACTCAGGCTTCTGCTACTGGTTGATACTTACCTTGACTACAGATTTTCATTGTTACCTGGCCTTATATTGGAAGGCATTCTCTCCAATAGCCTGCAGGACAACACCGTAATAGAGAAGAATGTTTCTTGTGGCTGAAGTGTACAGAGTGTCGGAGCTTTGTCTGGAGAATCCTAAATCATCCAAGTAGTATACCAACTAAGCTGTTGAGGACATGTTTGTACCACAAGCTAAGCTGTTGAGGAGATATTCTGTACCTAGAAATACGAGTAATAGCATTTTCATTGACTGCAAATGTGACACAATGTGATCAAATGTGTCTTGCTCTTGTCTTTATCACCCTCCCATGCCCCGAAAAGCCCCTGTCAACCCTGTACACCAAAAGTATTCTCCGGACCTGAAGGCTCGTGTCATATACCAACAATACTTCTTGGGAAAGAAACCCACAGCGATTGCCAAAGATCTGCGGATGCTACTGCATGTTGTCCAGCACGTTCTGACCTTGTGGAAAAGGATAGGGGCTGTCTGTCAAGTCCACAAAGGGTTGGGTAGATGGCATCTCATGCGTGCCAATCACTGTGATGTGTATGTAATCCTATGATCTTTTGACCATCTCAAACACAACTACTCTCACAGTTTATCATTGCTCTAATTGAACACCAACCCGACATTTATCTGGATGAGATACAACTCCAGCTCATTATCATGCATGATCTGCATGTCTCATTACCCACCCTCTCCCATACTCTGCGTCATCTGGGATACACTAACAAGAAGGTCTGTGTCGCATTTCTTGCATTACCTTCATAGCTTATCCCTCCTCAGCTCTCGCGTGTTGCTGCCAAAAGGAATGCCGACAAGATCAGGACATTCAAACAGAAAATCGGCCAGTACCCGCCTGACTATCTTGTATTTGCCGATGAGGCTGCCATCAATATCCTTACAACTTACCGGAGTAATGGATGGTTGCTCCGTGGGCTCCGTGCACGCAAACATTGCAAGTTTGTCTGCGGCATGCGGTAAGAGGTTTTTTTCCCATCTCCAGTCTGATTCACAACTGCTGTAGATATTCATTGCTTCCTGCGCTCACATCCGACAGCCTTATCTACAGCCACATCAAGGAGGGTGGATACAATGGAGAGGAGTTTTGTATGTGGCTGGAGGGTCTCATGGATTACATGCAGCCATATCCTGCCCCCCGCAGGTCAGTGGACAGATATCTTTTGGCGCAGTTCTCCTAATAATACGTGGCAGTGTGTTGGTTATCGATAACTGCAGAATTCATCACGTTCCCAATGTCAAAGCTATTTGTGCAGCACTGTGAGCGAGATTTTTACCCATCATTAGTATCCTGACAGCGCAACCGTAGCAACATCAAACTAGTGTATTTTCCCCCTTACTCTCCACATCTCAATCCGATAGAAGAGTGCTTTTCACTCATCAAAAAATGGATTCAAAGGCACAGAGCAAAATTCAGGGACATTATCAAGTACGGTGACGATACCGACCCCTTCCTTTTCCTATACCATGCATTAGACCAAGTACCAGTTACCGCTATTCACAGTTGGTTCTGTCACTCAGGTTACATGTAGTTGTTGTCCATGCTTTCTGATTGCAAAACTTTGTATTGTAACGACCAAGACAATGAAATACATTTGATGCAGTACAGGTTTCAACAGGGTTTCTACGTGCGATAAAGTGCAATAAACAGTACAATGCAGTCGAGGGAAAGTGCTAAAACAAATGCTAGTGTTGCAAGTACCGATGAGGAGGCAAGGCGAGAAACAACAATAAGAACTTCTTCAGGTTTGTGGCAGTGGGGTGCCTTTGACATGGGCACGAGCCATGCTGATAAGCCAGTTCGCCATTGCACTGGGGATATGGACACTTGATATTAAATATTCAGTGCCAAGGTTGCGTAAATCACGGACGGTAAGACATTCCTCCTTGTCAGCGAGGGTGTCAATGAAACGCGAAAGCCGGCGCACTGGATGAAGGCCGTCAAGTTCCTGCATGAAAAGATAGAAATCACCTCCATCTTGTCCGCGAGCAGGAGAGAGCTGCAGTGCAGGGAGTTGGGGATACATGCAACCGGGAGCTAGCAGAGATGCCATTATAGCTGTGTTTGTGCGTTGAGACCCAGCCACAGCCATTGCCATAAGGTCAAATGCGGAGGACAATGCAGGAGTTGCAGGAGTCAAGGCAGGTGCCAGAGCTGGTGCCGGATCTGGCGCAGGAGCTGGTGCTCTGATGTGAAATCGGCTGAAGAGGTCCGTATTCGGAGTTGCATCATATGTCATGCCACGCTTTTGCTGCGCCTGGTGAAAGTCAGTACTCAAGAAAAAGATGCGGGCGGGTCCAAAGGACATACCAGAGCTACAGACCAAGCTTGACGTTGGTGAAAGGTGAGATAGGCATGCTTTCCGTCTCTATCTATTTTGCACCAGGTGTCTGGATTTGTTTTACTGCAAGCCTCGCATGTGCCCTTGTATTTCTTCTCTAAACGTTCCAGTTCTTCATTTTCGTCTTCCATGGCAGCTACGCCGTTGCCGGTGTCATCGTCCAGTTCGTTGCCGGACGCATGATCCAAATCGAGAATGGTGCGTGCCGATGGACGGCCCTTCTTCTTGTTGCCGTTAGATTTTGCCTTGGGTGCCAAGTGTTTGGTCATCGCGTCCATGTACTACGTTCATGAGTGGCAGACATAGTCTCAAATAATGCAACACATACGGGAACCGGTACAATGATCTCGACTTGATGCACTTTCTTTCCTTTAGTCTCAGCAAATTTTGTGGTTACGGCAGTATGAAGAGAGTTCCAGGAGTTTTCATCCTCGAGACAGATCGCCTTTGCACGTGGGGTGAGTTTATAAGAGAGGTCGGGTTTGCGGGTCACTTCTTCGCAGCCAATAGCCTGATATATCTTTGCTTGTCCATAGTCAAAGTCGGACTCGAAAGGAATGGTAAGAACCCTGCTCGAGCCTTGAGGTGTTGGGACTAGAAGTTCAAATGCTAGCAAACGGTGAGGCTGTAAAGATCAAAAAGATAAATAAATGAAGTGCACTAGTAGGGTTGCCAATAGGCTCTTTCTCGCTTTTTTTACCCGAACTCGGCTTGGTCTTGGTCTTGGTCTTGTTTTTGGCCTTGGATTGGGTTTCTTTAGGGAGTTAGCATGCCAGAAAAGGTGGTGGAGAGCAGTGACACACCAAGTTTGTGTGGAGGCTCCGCAGGTGTGAGCTTTCTTCG